AAGGCGGGGCAGGGATTCAAGAGGCGGAAGTGGAGAAGGATTTGGGTGAGGGAGAGCTGGGCCGGCAGCAGCGGGGTAGGAGGCCAGGGGAGCCGTTGCTGGTGTGTTAGCCGCACAGGTTTGAATCGAAGCAGAAGGGAGTTGGAGGCCTTCGGGGAAGCATTTGGGCCCTTGGGGAAACATGAAGAGATGTGCTTTGGGAAGGTGACTTTAGAACAAAGCTATACAATGGTCGGACTGAGGTCTGCGGGGCATGGGAGGGGGGCCCGTGTGGGTGTAGAGGATGTTGGACTCAACCAGAACGACAGAGCGTGACGCCCAAGGAGAAGGCCTTTGTTCAGTGCCACCTTCCTGTCCCCGCTGGTATGTCACCTCCCTGGGGTGACTCAGCATCTCAAACTCGCATCCTTAGCATCTCTCACTCAATAGTTTTTGAATGAATGACAGGGCGCCCGTAATGGCCATGGCACCTTCTTTACTACCTCTGCACCCCTCCCTGCGTTCCCTCCTTCTCTCTCCGGCGCCCTCCTCCCGGGTGCTCCCCACAAACCCAGCAACTGGGACAGATTCCTCTGGCTTTGGAAAGAGGGCTGCTTGTCTTTGTCTCATCACCCCCAACTCCAGCCTCTACACACTCAGATATCTCTCCTGGTGGTTACCTTGCTTCCGGAAAAAAGAAAAGGAAAATTTAAAAGGTCAGCTCATCTCAAAAGGCTGTCTGCAGCACTGAGAGTTTAAAACTGTCTGTGTATTCTGCCTAGTAACTGGTGAGAGAGTAGGCTCAAGGATACCATTGGCTGGGCCCGTCCACCGTCGGCCAATCCTGGGCTCTAGACCGTTCATTGAGTTCTTGGGACTCTGCGGTCAGAGTGGACCTAGTCTCAGGTCCTGCCGCTGGGCACTCTGCGAGTAATGGAAGGCGAAGGTAAATTTTTTTGTTTTTTGTTTTTTCTTCTCCGATTTCAGGGCGGTTTGTTCTCTGTTTGTGACTATGAGATTAGACAGAAGACGGACCACAGGAAAATCATCAGTTAGTTGAGCGTCAGAGGAGAAAAGAGAACGCAGAAGTTAATTCTAGAAGGTAGGAAAGGGAGGGAGGAGGGGTAGCGCTACCCCTCTGGGGGCAGGGGTGGGGCGGTAGGTGGGAACCCACTCTGTGGGCGGCGGGGTCCCCGGGAGAGGAGCCGCTGGGGTACCTGGGGTACCTCCCAGCGCACCCCGGGATTCCTGGGGGGTTTGGGGGGGGGGGGGAAGGGTATGGAAAAATATCAGGTGACAGCTGAAGAAACTCAACTCTGGCCGGAGAAGTGAGCCGGGGAGGGCGGAAAACTGCCTCCCCGATCATTGTGTCGTTGGCTTAATCCAGGGAACGTCTAATGAGCCCATCCGTCGGGAGGTACCTGAACCCGGAGACAGCGTGGGGCGCGCTGACGATACCCCCGCGGTTACAGGAAAGCTGGACTTGGATCGGAGCTGGGGCCCCGTCTCCTCGGCCGGTCTCTCCACGTCTGGTGCCCCCAGGCCTCCGGTCGGGCGCTGACTCTCCCGGGTGCCTGGTCGGTGGCGCTGATGGAGCCCGCGGCCGCCCCCCGCTGCCGCGCGCGGGGCTCGCTTCTCTTCTTGGCGCTCCTCTGCGGGTGTGCCCTGCTCTCAGGTAGGGGGCGCCCCAGCTCCCGCAGCCTTGCAGAGGGGAAAATGCACGCCCGAGTCGGGAGGGTCAAGAGGTATTGCAGTTGGGGTCAAGCACCTTCCATTCTGCACCGGCTCCTTGATTTCACACCAGCGCCGCCTGGTTGGAGAAACACGGTGAGAGCCCCAGAGGCGGGCTGCACGTACAGGGTTTGCGTTTTTTGAGCGGCGACGTTTCAACTGGTGAAAAGAAAGCGGACGAAGTGCGCTTTCATAGGGTATCTGGCTTAACTCCAAATAACCCGACTAGCGCTATTTGAACTTTGAGCTGATGGGAAATACCTCCCAGTGAGATAGATAACATTTCGCATTCTAACATCTCCGCATTGCGTGTGCGTGTATCTTGCATTTACAACACATTTCAGTTGGGACTCGCTCGAGTTGAGGCTACACTCCAGGCCCTGTGCTAGACTGGGGGATGGTCCGTGTCTGCAAGCACGGGGTCTGGGAGGTCCTCGGGATGCGCTGTTGGTACTTTGTTCACAAAGGAGGGGCAGCCCCAGGGGCGGAGAACCCCACCGGGTGTCTCGTGCCCGAGACCGCGGCTGCTGGGGGCTGGGCCCCTGGGCCCTGGGAAAGCCCAAGTCGTCCCCCCAGAGTATCTACTTCCTTTCCTGCCTTCCATATCCGATGGCTGTGCCCCGTCTGATTCCGCTCCTCTGTCGAACAGCCCAGTTTACTGTCGTGGGTCCAGCTGACCCAGTCCTGGCCATGGTGGGAGAAGACACCACGTTTCACTGCCACCTGTCCCCCGAGAAGAACGCTGAGGACATGGAAGTGAGGTGGTTCCGGACTCACTTCTCGCGGGCAGTGCTCGTGTACAAGGGTGGACGAGAGAGAACCGAGGAACAGCTGGAGGAGTTCCGAGGAAGGACGACCTTTGTGAGCGACGGCATCACACAGGGGAGCGTGGCACTCGTCATACACAATGTCACAGCGCACGAGAATGGCATCTACCACTGTTACTTCCAAGAAGGCAGGTCCTACGATGAGGCCATCATGCGGCTGATGGTTGCAGGTGTGTCCTTTCATTTTGCTCGGTTGCTTTTTCAGTGTCGTTCGCAGGGAAAGCTTCTCTCCTCACCTCAGGCCCGTGGCAGACCAGCACATTTGTGCCTCGAATCCTCTTTAAGCGGGGAAAGTGGCTTCCTCCTGCCCCAGGACCACTGTGGGCATCGACCACCTGCTACACTGTGGGCATCGGTTCTGGAGACGTAGGCACGGGACTCAGCTACAGCCTTGAGCCAGGGAGAATGTTTAGTCCCTAGAGATAGTTCTTTTTTTTTTTTAAATAAGTTTATTTGTTTTATTTTGAGGGAGGGGGAGGGGCAGAGAGCGAGGGAGAGAGAATCCCAAGCGGGCTCTGCGTAGTCAGCGTGCAGCCTGACGTGGGGCTCGATCCCACGAACCTCGAGCTCATGACCTGGGCAGAAATCAAGAGCCAGATGTTCAACCAACTGAGCCACCCTGGCGCCCCTCTAGAGATAATTCTTATGCCTACTCAGAGATCTCTGGGGTTCCTCCTTAGTAACTTGTTTTAGAATTCGACATTTTTAGTGTGTAATACAATACACAGACAGAAAAACTTAGAAACATGAATGTACAGATTACCAGATTACTATGAACTGTAACCCATGTGACCGCTACTCATATCAATGAATAGAGCCCTGCCTTCTCCTGACCGGGTGAATTCGGCCCACCATAACAAAATACCCCATAGACCGGCTTAAGCGACACAAATTAATTTTCCCACAGTTCTGGACGAAGGTCGAACCGTCCACAGGTTTGGTGTCTCCTGAGGCTTCTCTCCTTGGCTTACAGATGGCTGCCGTCTCACTGTGTCCTCACGTGGTCCTCCCTCTGTGTTTTCACGTGGCCTTTCCCCTGTGTGGACCCACCCTGGTATCTTTCTCTGTGCTGATCTCTTCACAGCCCAAGGTATTGGACGTGAGGGCTCCAACACGTGAATGGGGAGGGGCATAGTTCAGTTCATAACATGCCCCCTCTCAAAACCCCCAACTGACACGTGTTCCCAGAAGTGCTGTATAATGGGAAATACACATCTTCCTCTTTTAGACATACGACAAGTTTGGTTGCCAAAATGTTTGTACCAATATATACTCTTACCAATAGTATATGGTGCTCCATACATTTGCCATCAGGTCCGAAGACAAGTTTTTCACACTTGAATTCAATTCGTTCTCTTTTTT